GTTATGGAAAAGGCTGAAGTTCCCCTCAAGAAATTGAATAATTTTCAAGAACATTAGGAGTAGCCAAAGACATACATATAAATATATATACAAGCATACAAGTTAGGAGCAGGAGCAGGCCATTTGCCACTCAAGTTTGCTTGGCCATTTAATATGAATGAGTTAGACAAATGAGAGGCAACCTTATTAAAATATTGGATTCTTAGGGTAGTCGGCAGGATAGATGCTGAGAAGTTATCTCTTCTTATTGGAGAATCTAGGACCAGAGGGCACAATCTCAGAGCAAGGATTTGCTCTTTAAGGCAGAGATGAGCATGTTTTTTTTCGCCACTCTGAGGAATCTGTGAAGCTCTTTAATACAGAGATATTTAGACTGGATCACAAACTATTTTCAGGACTGAGACAGACTGATTTGTATTCACTCAGGGAATCAAGGGTTATGGGGATAAGGTAGGAAGATGGAGTTGCGGATTACCTGATCAGCCATGATCTCATTGAATGGCAGAATGGACTCCATCAGCCAAGTTGTCTACTTCTGCTCTTACATCTTATGGTCCTGAATCCTCTTCGTAAGTCATTTTTCTACATATCTTTGTGTCATCGTGCAGGACATTATCATGGAAAACGGAAGAATGAGTTGACGATGATAGTCGATAGTAAACTTCACTTATTTTCAACCATGGAATCATTTGGCTGCATTCTTTCAGTAGATAACAGAGATGTTGAATTCTTCTTTGAATGTTAAATATCTTTGAAGAATTTGTTTTGTTGTCCACTGGTACATCAGCAATTTGAGACTTGAAAGGTCAGAGCCTAACAGGGGGGATGGATTTTAGCCATGTGGACAGTCACCAGTCTGTTATGATTTTGCAGTTTTGCCTGAATGCCTGTGTATCTGGCTTAAGAAAGACACAAACGTTGTTGCATTGTTTTTCCATTGAATCAAAACGACACTGCAAAGGCATTACTGACAAAATTATTCCAGCACTCTGCTGAGTTGCACAGTCCAAGACTTGCTGCAGGACAGCAATGTGCTGATAACAACTGCTCTGTATACTAGAACTGCTACTGATTTGCGGAGATCATTGTCGTCAAACACTTCCTGCAATGGAAGGATGAACTAATATGATTTCAGAGCTCCTCATCAATGGTGGTCTTTTGAACATTCACATGAGCTTGCCTCCTTACTAAGAGCAAGGTTCACTCAACAGCATTGTTCAATGTATTATCAGAACACAGAAGCCTCTCTACTACATCATGGTGAAGATCCACAAAAAGTTATTCACATCCAGGTTATAATTTGTTGCATAGGCCATGCTAAATTGCCCATAGTGGCCAGGGATGTTAAGGTTAGGTGGATTAGACATGGGAAATGCAGGGGTACGGGAATGGGTCTGGGTGGGATACTCTTTGGAGAGGTGGTGTGGACTTGTTAGGCCAAATGGCCTGTTTCTACACTGTAGGGACCCTATATTTCTATTTTTAATCTTTACCCTCCCTCCCAGAATTATGATAAATTATTAAGGGATTAAATGTGTTGTAATATTTCCAAGTTTGCAGATGATACAAAATGGGGTGGAAGTGAAAGTTGTGAAAATGTAAAGACGCTTCAGGTGGATTTAGAGATGCTAAATAAGTGGGAAAAGCTATGGCAGATTGTATGCAATGTGGAAAATGTTCGATGATCCACTTTGGTGTGGAAAGCAGAAATAAAAACTACTTATCATTGTCCTTTTGGAATTCTGCACCGTCGCTTTCACAACTTAAAATTCTTCCAAGTTTCATGTACATGTACATATTTCAAAGTTTGTAAATGACACCACATCAACACCATTACTTTCAGTGAGCCTGTTATCACTTCAAAAAATTCCCGCAAGTTAAACAGTTTCCCCTTTACAACCCCATGCTGACTCTTCCTAATCAACCTACCCTTTTTCATGTGGCTATTAATTCTATCCTGAATAATTATTTTTAGAAGCTTCTCCACCACTGACTGGTCATAATGTTCTCAATTTTCCAATCTTCTGGCATCTCCCCCTAGTCCTGGGAAGACTGGAAAATTGTGGCCAGTGTTCCTGCAATCTCCATTCTCACTTCCCTCAAAAGCATCACATCTTGTCCTGGTGTCTTATCAACTTTAATATCAAAAGTCTATTCAACACTTCTTCCTTATCAATTTTGAACCCTTCTAGTGACAGTTTATCTTTCTGTCACCATGGCCTGAGTAGCATCTCCCACTTTGGTAAAGTCAGATGCAAAGTATTTATTTCACACTTAACCATGTCGGCTGACTCTACGTGTAAATCCCCCTTCTGGTCTCTAATTAGCCTATTTCTTTTACCATTCTTTTATTATTCATACACCTGTAGAACACTTTGGGACACCCCTTTAGATCGGTGTCCAGTCACTGGTACAGAATCCCTTGAGGGTTTATGATGAGACAATAATGGAGACTGTGCTGATGGAAGCGACGTCTGGATGTTAACTCCCAGTTACACGATCTTCAGAAGAGACTGAAAAGGAAGAAAAGGCTACAGGGTGGCATTTTTGTTTAAAGAGGGCATGGCAGTACTGGGGAAAGAGGATGTTCCAGGGTTCAAGGACAGAATCAATATGGCCACAGCTAAGGAACAATCAACCCAATCTCTGAAGAAGGGTAATACCCGAAACGTTGACCTCCAGATACTGCCTGGCTTGCTGTTTTGTTCCAGTCTCCTGTTTGTCTACCTTGGATTCCAGCATTTGCAGTTTCTTTGTTTCTCTCCTCATACAAAACCTGCCACCCCAGGAATCAGTCTGGTGAACATTTGTTGAATTCAGTCCAAAGAAAGTATTTTTTTTTGGGTAAGGAGACCAAAATTGCAGAAACACTCTAGGTGTGACCCTGAACAGCTGCAGTTACCACTTCCCTAAGAGACTCTTGAATTTTCCCAAATATTGACGTTAAGCTAACCAGTCTGAGATTCCTGGTTTTGTTCCTTTCTCCTCATTTGTAAACCTCCAATCTGCTGGGACTGTTCTAGAATCTACAGAATTCTGCAATTCGGAATTTATCAAGAAATAATACAAATAACATAATAATCAAAATATCTTCATAAGTGAATTAATATTTACAATTTTCCACAGCTTTAGTAAGGATATTCTCACTGAAATTGGTCATTACTGCAACTACAACTGCACCCTCAGGGATTGCATAACTGTGATGGTGACTGTGGCAATTAATTTTTTGTACCTGTCTTCTTCCAGGCTGCAGCTGGAGATATTGTATAAAGGACATCAGTGAGGCTCTTTATTCAAAGTGAGATTGGTACATTTCATTCTTTCTGCACCAGAAAGAAGCAAGCTGAGTGAGCACATAGCTTTACCACAAACAGATATTGCGGGTGAAATTCAGCAGGTCTAGCAGCATCAGTGGAAAGAAAACGTAGCTAACATTTTAACTCCTCAAAGCGAATTTCTGCTTTTGTTTCAGATTTTTAGTATTTGCAGTTCTTTGTTTTATTTTGTACTTGGTTTTTCTAAGTTTGCAGACTCTGACTGCCTGAACCACTATGGAGCAACTGTCAGCAGAATGGGTATTTTGGGTCATGACCCCAAGTTCTTATAAAAGGTCACAATCTGAAAAATGAGTTCTGCTCTTTCTCCACTGATGCTGCCCAACCACTGAATATTTCCAGCATTTTCATTTCTTTATTCCAGATCTACTCTGCTTCTACACAGTATATGCTTTTTTCTTATTTATTCATTCACAGGATGTAGGCATCATTGACTACGCCAGCATTAATTGCCCATCGGGGAGGAATTAAGTGTCAACCAAGTGCTGTGGGTCTGGTGTCACATGCAGGCTACACCAGGTAAAGGTGACAGTTTCCTTTCTTAAAGGACATTAGTGAACCAGATGGGTTTTTCTGACAATCGACGATGTTTCACAGTCACTATTAGAGTCTTAACTCCAGATTTTTATTGAATTCAAATTCTGCCATCTGCTGTGGCAGGATTCAAACCTGAGTCCCCAGCACATTACTTCAGTCTTTGAATGAACAGTCCAGCTATAAATAATACCACAAGGTCATCACCTCCCCATTGCAGTCTTTATAAATGGAATCAGTACAAAGTTATTGGTTATACATAAACTTAATCTAAATTTACTTTCTGTACAATAATTTAAATATCCTGATTTTACTCTTCAGTCTAATTGGTTGATCAGACTGCTAGCCCTATACGCAAAGCTAGCCACCCACTAAACGTTCAGGGCCAATTTTCAAGGTACACAGAAAGTCTTGTTTCTTTGCAACTGACCCAAAATGTTGACCATATTATTTTAAACTGTAATGTAATTGCTTTAATTTTTACACTGCTTGTTCCCTTCTAAAATGGAGACACTTTTTGCCTGATTTTTGTTTGAATATACTGGAGCAAACTAGGGTTCCTTTAGGGTTAAAATTGAATCAGAGATAGTAAGAACTGCAGATGCTGCAGAATCCGAGACAACAAGGTGGAGAGCTGGATGAACACAGCAGGCCCAATTACCATGACTGTCAGCTTGGAATCAACTGATTTTATTTTTTCCAAAAAAAAATACTTTATCCATAAAATTTGCAAAGGAACATTTCATAATAGTTCGAATTTGAACATTAAATGAAGTGTGACATACATCATTGTTTTCCAAATACAGCTCATCAGGTGCCTCACTAAACTGGCTCATGTGGTATTGATAATTAAAAATTCACGTCAAACATTATCTGTTGTGTACAGCCTGAGGCGTTTGCCTTCCACGCGACTTTGAATGACTCGTCGCTTTCTGCAAGCCGAAGGGAAAAAGTTACCAGTTTAGTCCTGACCTGACTAACCAGTGCAACGATCCACTAGCTGTGTAAGCCATCCATTGATTGACAGGGGACCAAGACCAATCCCATGAACAGCCTGCATAGATAGCCAATCAAGGGGCGGGGCTATGTGATTGACAGGTATGTACACCTATCAACAGGCCGCTAACAGGGGGCCCGCCCGGAGGCGCTGAGGAAATCGCGCACCACTAAACCGCTCTCCAAAGATGGTGGCGTAGGCTCCGATTGCAACTGTATAACTACTGGAATTTGGCATTACGGTCCTTTTAAAAAAAGTATTAATTCGTTATAATTTACATTTTATAAGAAAAATTGAAAGTATGCCTAACATCAAGATTTTTAGCGGCAGCTCTCACCAGGATTTATCACAGAAGATCGCCGATCGCCTGGGGCTCGAGCTCGGGAAAGTGGTCACCAAGAAATTCAGTAATCAGGAGACTTGGTGAGTGCATGAGGAGGGGGCGAGTATGTCGCGGATAATATATTTTTAATTGTGGGAGTAGCTTCCTTCTGGGTGTCTGAATGAAAGGAAGGAGCAACACGGTTATTGAAGTCGTTTACTTGCTGCGGCCTTGCGGTGCAGGTGTGAGAGCGCGTTAGCTGAGCACGGGTGCTGCCGGGATTTGTAGTCCCTCCCGGTACGTCATTTCATACTGCGGAGCGCGCCGCTCACCATCGAAAAACTACAACCCCCATATGGCCACACCCTGGCGGCAATGGAACACGTTGCCACAGACAGTTTGTAGGAAATACCTATCAGCATTAAGAGGCCCGCTTTAATAATTGAGATTTTGGAACTGAACTCGTGGGGAACCTCACTTTTGACTTCCTAATAACACTTTTCGTGGAACGTGGAATGTTTCCATGTCTTCATTGTCTCTCACTGGGAGATATATAGTCTCGCAAACGGTTTTCAGTAGTGTAACCTTAGCAACACTGGATAATTTATTGTAGCCCATAAATTATGCTCAGTGATGTTTGATTTTCTTTCTTGAATTAAATCTTGTAGTATAATTCAAAAATGTCAGAGTGCACTAGCTCGGAACGTTGCGATTTCAAAGTCCCGCTCAACACTGCAGTACACAATCGTTGCTATATCATCGCACGAAGGGGGAGGAGATGGCATAGTGATAATGTCACTGGAGCAGTAATCCAAGTCATACGCTATTGTTATGTGATAAGAAGGTGTAGAGCTGGATGAACACAGCAGGCCAAGCAGCAGCATAGGAGCAGGAAGGCTGACGTTTCGGGCCCAGAGCCTTCATCAGAGTTTCTACTATTTCTGACACTATTGTTATGTGATGTGGTTAAATCCCACCTTGGCAGATGGTGAAATTTGAATTCAATTAATAAAATCTTGGAGAAAGCAAATGGCAACTATTATGGTCAAATGTCATTTTTTTAAAAACCTGGTTCACTCACGTCCTTTTGGGTAAGAAATCTGCCTGATCTGGCCTGCGTGTGACTGAAGACACATCGTACTGTGGTTGACTCTGAAATGGCTTAACAAGTCACTTCAAATTGCTATTAGTCTAAAGAGAGGATTGAAACTGCATGGACCACCTGATAGCAACCTAGCCACCAGAATTGATAACAATAAAACCAGCCCTGTCAACCCTGCAAGGTCCTCCGTACGTACAGCTGAGGGCTTATGTTAAAGTTAGGAGAGCTATCCAACAGATAAATGTGACATAGTAATAATCTTGGAATCATACCTTGCAGATAATATCCAGATGCCACCATCGCTGTCCCTGAGACTGGAGGTGGCACTTCAGTGGTGTACAGTCCAGACGTAGTTGCCCTGGGAGCCCTCAACATTGACTCCAGCTCATCAGGTTAAATACGGACAAACATAATTACCATCTACCACACCTCCACATTTCAGCTGATGAACCTGTACCCCTCATATTTAACATCACTTGAAGAAACTTGATAGTGGCAAGGGCACAGAATGTATTCCGGGTGGGAGCCTTCGTTGCCCATTACCAAGAAGGGTTCAATTGTACTACTGCTGACAGAGTTGGCCGAGTCCTAAAGGGTATAGCTGCTAGACTGTCTGCAGCAGTTGGTGAGGAAACGAATAAGAGGCCTCAAAGAACAAAGAAAATTACAGCACAGAAACAGGCCCTTCGGCGCTCCGAGCCTGCGCCGATCCAGATCCTCTATCTAAACCTGTCACCCATTTTCCAAGGATCTGTATCCCTCTGCTCCCTGCCCATTCATGTATCTGCCTAGATACATCTTAAATGACGCTATCGTGCCTGCCTCTACCACCTCCGCTGGCAACACGTTCCAGGCACCCACCACCCTCTGCGTAAAGAACTTTCCACGCATATCTCCCTTAAACTTTTCCCCCCTCGCCTTGAAATCGTGACCCCCAGTAATTGAGTCCCCCACTTTGGGGGGAAAAAAGCTTCTTGCTTTCCACCCTGTCTATACCTCTCATGATTTTGTAGACCTCAATCAGGTTCCCCCCTTAACCTCCGCCTTTCTAATGTAAATAATCCTAATCTACTCAACCTCTCTTCATAGCTAGCGCCCTCCATACCAGGCAACATCCTGGTGAACCTCCTCTGCACCCTCACCAAAGCATCCACATCCTTTTGGTAATGTGGCGACCAGAACTGTACACGGTATTCCAAATGTGGTCGAACCAAAGTCCTATACAACTGTAACGTGACCTGCCAACTCTTGTACTCAATACACCGTCCGATGAATGAAAGCATGCCGTATGCCTTCTTGACCACTCTGTCAACCTGCATTGCCACCTTCAGGGTACAATGGACCTGAACACCCAGATCTCTCTGTGCATCAATTTTTCCCAGGGCTTTTCCATTTACCATATAGTTTGCTTTTGAATTGGATCTTCCAAAATGCATCACCTCGCATTTGCCTTGATTGAACTCCATCTGCCATTTCTCTGCCCAACTCTCCAATCTATCTATATTCTGCTGCATTCTCCGACAGTCCCCTTCACTGTCTGCTACTCCACCAATCTTAGTGTCATCTGCAAACTTGCTAATCAGACCATCTATAACCTTCCTCCAGATCATTTATGTATATCACCAGTGGTCCCAACACAGATCCCTGTGGAACACCGCTGGTCACAGTTCTCCATTTTGACAAACTCCCTTCCACTACAACTCTCTGTCTCCTGTTGCCCAGCCAGTTCTCTATCCATCTAGCTAGTACACCCTGGATCCCATGCGACTTCACTTTCTCCATCAGCCTACCGTGGGGAACCTTATCAAACGCCTTACTGAAGTCCATGTATATGACATCCACAGCCCTTCCCTCATCTATCAACTTTGTCACTTCCTCAAAGAATTCTATCAAGTTGGTAAGACATGACCTTCCCTGCACAAAACCATGCTGCCTATCACTAATAAGCCCATTTTCTTCCAAATGTAAATAGATCCTATCCCTCAGTGTCTTCTCCAGCAGCTTCCCCACCACTGACGTCAGGCTCACCAGTCTGTAATTTCCTGGATTATCCTTGCTACCCTTCTTAAACAAGGGGACAACATTTAGCAATTCTCCAGTCCTCTGGGACCTCACCCGTGCTCAAGGATGCTGCAAAGATATCTGTTAAGGCCCCAGCTATTTCCTCTCTCGCTTCCCTCAGTAACCTGGGATAGATCCCATCCGGAACTGGGGACTTGTCCACCCTAATGCCTTTTAGAATACCCAACACTTCCCCCTCCTTATGCTGACTTGACCTAGAGTAATCAAACATCTATCCCTAACCTCAGCATCCGTCATGTCCCTCTCCTCAGTGAATACCGGCGCACAGTATTCATTAAGAATCTCACTCATTTTCTCTGACTCCTCGCATAACTTCCTTCCTTTGTCCTTGAGTGGGCCAACCCTTTCTCTAGTTACCCTCCTGCTCCTTATGTATGAATAAAAGGCTTTGGGATTTTCCTTAGCCCTGTTTGCTAAAGATATTTCGTGACCCCTTTTAGCCCTCTTAATTCCTCATTTCAGATTGGTCCTACTTTCCCGATATTCTTCCAAAGTTTCGTCTGTTTTCAGTCGCCTAGACCTTATGTATGCTTCCTTTTTCCTCTTTGCTAGTCTCACAATTTCACCTGCCAACTGTGGTTTCCCTAATCTTGCCATTTCTATCCCTCATTTTCACAGGGACATGTCTGTCCTGCACTCTAATCAATCTCTCTTTAAAAGCCTCCCACATATCAAATGTGGATTTACCCTCAAACGGCTGCTCCCAATCCACATTCCCCAGCCCCTGTTGAATTTTGCTATAGTTGTCCTTACCCCAATTCGGCACTCTTCCTTTAGGACCACTCTCGTCTTTGTCCATCAGTATTCTAAAACTTACGGAATTGTGATCACTATTCCCAAAGCAATCCCCTACTGAAACTTCAACCACCTGGCTGGGCTCATTCCCCAACACCAGGTCCAGTGTGGCCCCTTCCCGAGTTGGACTATTTACATACTGCTCTAGAAAACCCTCCTGGATGCTCCTTACAAATTCTGCTCCTTCTAAACCCCTAACACCAAGTGAATCCCAGTCAATGTTGGGAAATTTAAAATCTCCCATCACCACTACCCTGTTGTTCCTACATCTTTCCATAACTTATCTACATATGTGTGTCTCTATCTCACACTTGCTGTTGGGAGGCGTGTCCTACAGCCCCAACATTGTTACCGCACCCTTCCTATTTCTGAGCTCTGCCTATATTGCCTCACTGCTCGAGTTCTCCATTGTGCCCTCCTTCAGCACTTCTCTGATATCCACTTTGACCCGTAATGCAACTCATCCACCCCTTTTACCTCCCTCTCTATCCCGCCTAAGCATCTATATCCTGGGATATAGAGTTGCCAATCTTGCCCTTGCCTCAACCAAATCTCAGTAATAGCAATAACATCATACTCCCACATACTAATCCAAGCCCTAAGTTCATCTGCCTTACCTACTACACTTCTCGCATTAAAACAAATGCACCTCAGACCACCTGTCCCTTTGCGTTCATCATCTGCTCTCTGCCTCCTCTTCCCCTTAGTCACACTGACTTCATTATCTAGTTCCTTGCAGGCTTCAGTTACTACCTCCTCACTGTCCACTAACCACCTCATTTGGTTCCCATCCCCCTGCCACATTAATTTAAACCCTCCCCAACCGCGTTAGCAAAAGCAGCCCCTAGGATATTGGTTCCAGTCCTGCCCAGGTGTAGACCGTCCGATTTGTAATAGTCCCACCTCCCCCAGAACTGGTCCCAATGTCCCAAAAATCTGAACCCCTCCCTCCTGCACCATCTCTCAAGCCACTCATTTATCCTGCCTATTTTTTCATTTCTACTCTGACTAGCACGTGGCACTGGTAGCAATCCTAAGATTACTACCTCTGAGGTCCTACTTTCTAACTCGGCTCTTAACTCCCTCGTCCTTGCAAATTCTGTTTGTCACAAATACAGTCATCCTTGACAGCATTGGCAGGAGTAACCATTATACAATTTTTGTGGAGACAAAGTCTCGTCTTCGCATTGAGGGTACCCTCTACTGAGTTGTCTGGCACTCCCACTGTGATGATTATGAAAAGATCCAGCAACTCAAAATAGTGTATTATTGAGTTGGTGTGAACAGTAGTAGAATTGTATTCAACCACAATCTGTAACTGTCATGCTTGTCCAACCATTGCCATCAAGCTGGTGGATCAACCCCAATTTACTGAAGAGTGCATGTGGGATTGCAAGAAGCAGCATCAGGCATATTTAAACACGGAGTGTCAACCCGGTGAAGCAACAACACAGAACTACTTACATGCCAAATAGTTGAATCAGCATCTGATAGAGCTAAATTAATCCCACAACCAAAAATCAAATCTAACCTTTGCAGTCCTGCCATATCACTTTGAGAGTGGTGGTGGGAAATTAAACAACCAACAAGGGGAAGAATGATACCCAGCATATCAGTGCAAAAGACAAAGCTGAAGCCTTTACATCTAAGATTTAAGACTGTCAAGGGGGGACTGTAGGGTAGGTAAAACTAATTTATAGTTGACAAGTTAAGTCAGGGGTGGAGGGGGAGATGCAGTGTTGGAGGAAGGGAGCTAAACATTTTAGGAGTGAAGTGTGAATCCTGTATACAACGCAGTAACATTTTAGAACTTCGTTCTGCAAGCAACAGTTGTTGCTATTTCAGTTACTGGTATTAAATTTTCATATGACATTAACAAACTTTTTGTTTTATGAGCAAGGTAATGGATGTGGGGAAATGATGGGTATGTGGAATTAGGTCACAGATCAGCAATGATCTTGCTGAGTGGTGGAAGAGATTTCAGATACAGTGACCTACTGGGTAAGTGCAAGCAGAGTGGCACAGCAGGAGCACGCTGGGCCCATACCCCAAGGTCA